ATCTGTTGAGACTGGGCGTGGTGGTGACGTGTGCGTGTAATCCCACCACTTGGGAGACTGTAAACGGATGGATCACTACGAGTCTGACCTGTACACTCTGTACCCTGTCCTAATTATGAGAGAGAGAGAGAGAGAGGGAGAGAGAGAGAGAGAGAGAGAGAGAATTTCAATATATAGTGACAGAAGACAGACCATTGTTTTTTGTTTTTTGTGGAACCAGGGATTGAACTCAGGCCCTTGCACTTGCCAGGGAATCGCTTATTCTACTGAGCCATCTCCCCGGCCTCTAGAAGACAGACCATTGGTTTTAAGGAATGGGAATGGAGGTTACCTGGAAAGGAACATTTGAGGAGGATGAAAAAGTGCTGCCTTGCCTATGGTGACACAATACAGGATCATCAAGTTTCATGGACACTGCTTTAAATAAGCACACTGCTCTCTGCTCCTGCACATCTACCGTTAGCTGTTCTCCTTGTGCAGCCAGCAGTGATCTAGACAAGACGGTGAAGGTCGGAGTGAACAGATTTGGCCATATTGGATGCCTGGTACCAGGGCTGCTTTTAACTCTGGCAAGGTGGATGTTGTGGCTGTCAATGACCCCTTCATTGACCTCAACTACATGGTCTACATGTTCCACTATGATTCCACCCACGGCAAGGTCCATGGCACTGTCAAGGCTGAGAACAGGAAGCTCATCATCAACAGAAAAGCCATCACCATCTTCCAAGAGCAAGATCGCGCCAACAAGGTCATCCATGACAACTTTGGCATTGTGGAAGGACTCATGACCACATTGCACCCCATCACGCCACCCTGAAGGCTGTGGACAGCCCCTCTGGGAAGCTGTGGCGTGATGGCTGTGGGGCTGCCCAGAACATCATCCCTGCATCCACTGGTGCTGCCAAGGCTGTGGGCAAGGTCATCCCAGAGCTGAATGGGAAGCTCACAGGCATGGTCTTCCATGTGCCTACTCCCAACATGTCAGTTGTGGATCTGACCTGCCACCTGGAGAAAGAGGCTAAATACGACAACATCAAGAAGGTGGTGAAGCAGGCCTCAAATGGTCCCCTCAAAGGCATCCTGGGCTACACCAAGGACCAGGTTGTGCCTTGCGACTTCAACAGTGACACCCACTTTTCCACCTTTGATGCTGGGGCTGGCATTGCCCTGAATGACCACTTTGTGAAGCTCATTTCCTGGTATGATAATGAATTCGGCTACAGCAACAGAGTGGCGGACCTCATGGTCCACATGGCCTCCAAGGAGTAAGTGGCAGCCCAGGGAGACTAGAGGGACAGAGAGACCACGCTGTAGAAGTCACTGCCCTCCCTACTCAGCCCTGATACTGAGAATCTCTCCCTCACAGCTTCCATCCCAGGCCCCCTAGAAGGGGAAGGGCCTTGGGATCCCTGGCTTGCTGCCCTTGCACACCATCAATAAAGCCCATTGTACCCAGAAAAAAAAAATTAAGCATACTTTTATTGAGTGTAATTAAACCTCAGTGATGTGTGTGTGTGTGTGTGTGTGTGTGTGTGTGTGTGAGAGAGAGAGAGAGAGAGAGAGAGAGAGAGAGGGTTTTACTATGTAGTTCAGGTTGGCCATGAACCCACTTTGTAGCCCAGGCTGGCTTCTAGCTCACAGTGATCCACCTGCCTCAGCCTCCTTGTCTGGTGGGATAACAGGCATGTACCACCATGCCCTGCCCTACAAGATGCTGTTTTAAAAATTCCTGGAATAGGGCTGGTGAGATGACTCAGTGGTCTAAAGCACCTACTTAGAACAAGCTTAGCAAAGCACAGGGACCACTGTTCAATCCCCCAGCACCACATGCCAGCCAGCCCCGCCCCCTGGTGGGCTGAGCTGGCCACACACACACATACACACACACACAAATAAATAAATAAATTTTTAAAAATAATAAAATAAAAATTCCTGGAATAGAAAAGGAAGTCAGCCATAGGGCCCATGTGTTAATCCCAGCAATAAAAGGCTGAAGCAGGAGGATCATGAGTTTGAGGCCAGCCTGGACCACGTGACGTGGCCATCTCAAAAATCAAAACAGGAAGGACAATCAGTAGCTTCAAGGTAAAGCTGAACATCTTCCCAGCCACTGGCTGCCAGAAGCTCACTGAGGTGGAAGGAGATGAACCCAGACTTCTCACACTCTAAGGAAAATGCAGAGCCATATAAGTGGCTGCTGAGGTTCTGGGTGAAGCTGGAACATTTATGTGGTCTAAATGACTGGTAGGAATGACAAACAAGGTTTCCCTATGAAGCAGCATTCTCCAGCATTCTGTCAGAAAGACCTTGAACAAGAGAGCTAAGAAACCTAGGAGCACTGGGCCTGTTGTACTGGCCCCTGCCCCACTCACGGGGGGTGCACTGAGAAGGCAATTGAGACTGGGCGTGCGCCTGTAATCCCAGCTCTTGGGAAACTGTAAACAGGTGGATCACTATGAGTCCGATCTAGTAGTGAGACCCTGAACACCCTACAGACCCTTCCCTAAAATACAAAAGAAGAAAAAAAAAACAAAAACCAGGAGCAAAGCCCCCAAGACTCAGTGTCTGGTTACTCCACGTGTCCTTCAACACAAATGCTGCTGAAGCCAAAAGAATGAAGGAAGCCAAAGAAAGCGCCAGGAACAAATTGCCAAGAGACGCAGGCTATCTTCTCTAAGGGCTTCTACTTCCACTCTGAGTCCAGTCAAAAATAAAATGCTAGGGCTGGAGAGATAGCTCAGCAGACTAAGTGCCTGCTTAGGCAAGTTCATGGACCAGGGCTTGCTAGGAAGGCTGAAAACAGGAGGATCACCATGAGTCCGAGCTACATAGTGAGACCATGTACCAAATAAATAAAATAAAACGAAATACTTGAGTGACAAATAAAAAATACAGCAAATCAAATACAAAAATGGGCACAGAATCTGAAATCCAAATGTCTAACAAAACTCAGAAGACATGATCAAATGTATTAGTAATTAGAGACAGATAAATTAAAATGTTTATCAATCTTACTAGGTAGGAATAGATCATTTCTATCTGAAGATGTTCCAGAAAATATAAAACCCATAAAGAACAAAGTAGGGCAAGCGTACTAATTTATTTCACATGAGTGATTAGTTGTTTTAGAGAAGTGGCTTTGTTTGCGCTGCACCCCTCTTTTTTCTTACTGTGCGTTTCGTTTTGTTGTGGTGCTACGGATGAAACACAGAACCTTCACGCTGAGCTACATCCCCAGCCCTTTTTATTTTGACTCAGGATCTGGTTAAGTTGCTTAGACTGGCCTGGAAGTTGGTATCTTCCTGTTTCAGCCTCCCATGTCCCACAATAATGTAGTCTTACTATTTTTGCGATATTGGGGATGAGCGAGCCCAGAGCCTTGCACACCTCAGGCAAGCACTACCACTGGGCTGCACAGTCTGCCTTAGTTTACTGTCTTTTGTTTTCGAGGCATAATTTACATATTATAAAGCTCACTCGTTTATAGAGATGCAAGGTGCGATTGAACGCTCAGGCGACTCACTCAGCTGTGAAATCATCACTGCAGCACAGGTTCAGTACCTTTCCATCTTTCCACTAAGATCCTTGCTGTCTGTCTACAGTTACTCCCGCTTCCAACGAGCCCCAGGAAAGCTTTCGCCTCCTTGACGTCTTTGCCTTTTCTAGACATTTCATTACAGATAAAATCATAGGTCGTGCAGTCTTTCGGGTCTGGCTTCTTTCGCTGAGCAGAGACTCATGAAAATGAGTTCGCATGACTCATTTTCTTTTTTTCTGTCAGGGCTGGTCGGAGCCACCTCCTCTACGTGGCTCGCATAGTAGGAGCGAGAGAAGGGCCTACCTTTCTGCTTGCTCAGGGCTGCCTCCCCGGAGCAGTCTGCGCAGGCATTTCCTTCTTCCTGAGTGATAAAGAACCTGAAACATCCCAAGCACGCGTTCCGTTTAAACGTCTGCATGGTTTGGCGGGCGGACTGTGCTGGCTTAGCAAAGGAATTGCTCAGTGCCCCAACGCTGCGCAGGGGATACTTTCCGAGCAACGTATTGAGAAAGGGGGGAGAACATCTCAGGGTTGACGTTTTCCTTGTTCCCCAGGTGCAGAGACCGCAGTGTGATGTTCGCTTTCCATGGCTGGCCTCACCTCCCGCACTTTCTGTCTGGAAGCCCACAGTAGATCACGCACTAGCGTATATAATCCGTCTACACAAGGAGGGAACAGTAACAGCGTAGTGGGCCAAACCTCCTGGCTCGAGGATGACAGAAGGAATCTTTAGTTTTATTTTTAATACGCTCATCTCTTATTTAAATGGGAAATAAACTAGAACGTTTTAATTTAATTTGAAATATTTCCGCTAACCCATCTTGGGGCAAGATCTAATAGGTCCGAAAGGAGCTCTTCCTAGCAGCCTTGGGCAGGTGTGCGGATCGCGGGCTTGCGAGGAGCCGGGAAGCGGGAAACAGCCTCTCACCCCGGCCCCTGGGGGCCGACCGCGGCTGTCCCGGCACTGCGTTTTGCGCACTAGGAGGCAGCACCGCGCCGAGGAGCCCGCAGCGAACGGGCAGCCCCGATAGGATCTCCGGGGCGCGCCCTCGCCCGCCTGGCGTCCTGGCCTGAAAAATAAGGGGGTCGGGATTGGCCCGCAGGGCGGCTGTGGGTGGATTCCACGCGCTACTGCGGGGTCGCCTTCTTGGCACCACCGCGATCGGGGGCGCCCGCAAAACGCCCACTCGCTGTCCCTCGAGCTCCCACTAGAGCCTTGAGAGCCACGCGGCGCAGCGACTGCACCGTAACAGCGCGGGCCCTCGAGCTCTCACTCCAAAACCCAGCGGGCGGCTGGCAGGAGGTGCGCCGGAACTACAGTTTCCAGAGTGCCCTGCGGCGATGGGCGGAGCCGGGGAGCGCCCGCAGCCAATTAGGGGGTCTCGGGGCGCTGCCGGGGAGCTGCAGGTGGAGCCGCGCGGGTGGGCGGGCGCCGGGCCTGGTCCCCAGAACGCGTCCGGGGCTCGGGGGCTGGGCTGCCCCAGGGCGCGGCGCCGGCACTGCGGAGGTGGCCCGGGGACCGCATCGAGCGGGGCGGGAACGCGCTGCTGGCTTGGTTCCGGGTGCTCCCGCGCGGCGCTGGCCAGAGCGCACTTGAGCCAGGTCTGGCTGCAGGGAAGGGCGGGTCCGCCGAGCGCCGTCTCCGACCCCTCCTCCTCGGCGCGCCGACTGAGCCTCGGCTGGAGCTCTAGCCGGCGCCACCTCGCGCGCCCCAGCCATGGCTTTTGCCAATTTCCGCCGCATCCTGCGCCTGTCTACCTTCGAGAAGAGAAAGTCCCGCGAATATGAGCACGTCCGTCGAGACCTGGACCCCAACGAAGTGTGGGAGATCGTGGGCGAGCTTGGCGACGGCGCCTTCGGCAAGGTTTACAAGGTAAGGACGTTGCGGTGCGCGGCCGGGACGCGCGGAGCGGCTCCCGAAGGCAGGGCGCCAGCCGGAATCAGCCCGGTCGCGGTTGAAGAGAGCGCAGCGCGGTTTTCGGCTCTGGCCCCGGTGACCCTTGCTGTTTTAGGGGGAACCTCACTTTGTGGGGTTGAATGCTCAAGCGCTGAGCGCCTACTCTGGGCACTACGGTAGCCTCAGCACTTCCTGTGCATCCGACACTGTACTCGGCGCCTTGGGATGGGTGGGGGACGACAAAGGGACGTTTATGGATATGACTTCTCAGTCTGAGAAGACTGGCTACCCGCGGCACTGTCCGTAACACTGTGATAGGAGGCACGCTCAAAGCAACACAGACTGTGGGAATTGGGAGGCGCTGGTGCAGAGTCAGTTGCGCCTGGGAGGGTTGCGAGTAGCTGACACACCTGAAGATGGGGCAGGGACTGGGAACCGGGAACGGCGGAGTGTGGACCCCTGAGCAGGAGGTGATGCTTGGAAAGCCGGACTGGGGCCAGGTACAGGGCGAGGCCAGGGTCCTGTGAATGCTGAGCTGCAGGCAACTGATTTGATTCTGTACCCTTGAGTCACTGTTGGGAAGGCGCCCAGTCTGTTGTCACCTCTGCCCCGGAGGAAGACTGGGCCTAGTGCTTTGCAGAAGGCTGGGTGGGGCAGAGCTGATTAAATCTAGAGGCGTTTGCTGCAGGACATTGTCTGGTTTCTGCTCTACCGAATCAGTTCTGAGTACAGGAGTTGTTTGGGGCACCTAAACGCCTGCAGCTTGACCCACCCTTTCCCTAACCCTTAAACTCCTTTCCTCTATGATTTTTCTTTTTCTTTTCTTTTTTTTTTAAAGCCGAAGTCTTGCTGTACTGTCTGGGTAGCTTTCTATCTCCTGGGCTTAAGGCATCTCTTGCTTCTATCTCCTGAGTAGCAGCTGGGATTACAGTGGTGAGCCATCACCAACTGGCTTCGTCGCCTAGGAAAACTTACTGGGAGACTCCCACATGTACAGCTGCTGGGTACTCCCTGGAGAGTGCCTCTTTCCTAAAACAATCACATCAGTCTCCTGGGTTTTGGATAGATTGAAGCCACTGTGACCCCAAAATTGCCCTGTCAGGAGGCAAAAGAAACAAGGCTTCTCCAGAATTCCCTTCCTCACCCTCTTCTCTGCCTCCTACAGGATTTGCTCTCTGTGACTCAAAATTGATTGACGTATACATTAAATTTTTTTTTTTTTTTTCCAGAACCAGAGGTTGAACTCAGGGAAGTGCTTGCCAGGGAAGTGCTTATTCCACTGAGCCATCTCCCTGGCCCTCTCAAAATTGATTTAGAGCCTCCTTTCAAAGCATGGCCCCTGGGATTACATGCATTAGCATCACACGTGTGAGTTGTTAGACATGTCCGACCCAGACCCACTGAATTAGTAGTTCTGCATTTTACCAGGATCCCAGGTGATTCTTACACCTATCAGACTGAGAAGCTGAGCAGCACTGTGCCAAAGACTTAGAGAAATGTCAGTTCTGAGACCAACCAGGTTTGTGTGTGTGTGTCTTTTGCTACCTTGCCACCTCCTCCTCTGAGCTGCTCCTTCCTGTTGCAGGGCTAGGAATCCTCACTGGAGCAAATGTCTCGTGGTGAGAGCGTCCAGCCCCAGTGGGATGCGGTGGCCTTCTCTGCCTTGGCTCACTGCTCCTCGCCACCTGGGGGCTGTGCACACATGTTGGGAGCCGACAGACTGCACATCCATCCCCTGCACATCTTTGCTTCTCAGGTGCCCCAGGAGGTGGTCCCCAGCCTCCTGGCTCTGCCTTACCTGCTGCTGGTACTTGCCTTTCTCTAGAGGCCCGTGGTCTTGGAGTACTGCATCCTGTTGGGGCTTCCTCATGGGATCTCTCTGCTGGGGGCTTTCGGTTTTGTCCTCTTGTCTGCTCCCCTAGCACCACATGTTTTGACTTTACTGGGCTCTTTTTTTTTTTAATGTATTTTGTACAAGATCTACAGGTCTCACTACACCGATTGGACTAATAGTGAACCTCCTGTTTTCAGCCTCACAAGCGCTGAAATTACAGGTGCACATCATCAAGCCCAATCTCAATCGCAAGCTCCAGGGGCTGGGCCAGCACGGCTTGTAGTGTCAGGGATCGAACCCCTGTCCCTGGCTCCGCCTAAGCAGGTGCGTTAGTCCTGCTTAGCTAAGCTATCTGAGCTATCTGGCCAGCCTCATTTTTATTTAAACCTCAGTGTGGAACTTCTCTTTTATGCCCATAAGATTCCCCTTTGTCATTTTGTCTCTGAACCCACTGTAAACTCAGTAAGACTCCTGTACTACTCTGGCTTTCCCTACAGAAGCTTGTCTGATCCACATGTTATGTTGCCTCATGGTTCTCCAGAGCATGTGGATTCTTTCTGAATGAACTTTGTGTGTGTGTGTGTGTGTGTGTGTGTGTGTGTTACCAGGGACTGAACTTAGGGCCTTGCCCTTGCCAGGCAAGCGCTTATTCTACTGAGCTATCTCCCCGGCCCTGGACTGTTTTTTAAAAAGGCTACAATTCTCAGAGCTGTGAGCTGGCTTCACCAGAGCTCCTCCTCCACATTGAACTCATGATTTTCTTATAATTAAGACAAAAGAAAGCTAAGGCAAGAGATAGCTGGTATACCCCGGCATTGTATTTTTTTTTTCCTAATTCCAGGAATGGAATTCAAGACCTCAAGCTTGCAAGGCAGACCCAAGGCTGCTGAGCTATCTCCTCCACCCTTCCAGACATTGTAAATCTAGGCAGGAGCCACAAAACAACAGGCAGCACCCAGAGGTGGTCCCTTCAGGTGCGCATGGTGTAGAGCACATCTGTAAACCCAACGCTAAGGGAAACTGAGACAGGAGAAGTACAAGTTCAAGCCCAGCCTGGGCAACTCAGCTGAGCCCTGCTCCAAGTAAGACAAGCTGAGAATGGAGCCTCGTGGTCAAGGTGCCTTGGGGTATATCCCTAGCACAACAAAAAAGAAAAGGAAAAAAAAGCATAGCACATGCAGTGGTGTACAATACCAGTGTGTGGTAATGGTAACAAATAGCAGTGTTACTGGTTTATGTTTTTGTTTTGTTTTAATCAAACTCAGGACCTTGTACTTGCCAGGCAGGCACTTGTGTCACTGAGCTATATACCTGGCTCATTGGTTTATGTTTATACTCTGTGATACTTTGTATTGTTATTTTAGTGTGTGCTTCTATTTAGAAAAAAATTTACTGTCAAACAGTGTGCCCTATCCTGCTGGCAGCAGTCCCATCCTGCTCATGCTATCTTGATAGGACCGTTTTTTTTTGTGCTTGATTTAATTTAATGTGATTTTGTTCCTCATGGCCCTAGGAGTGATAGGCTAGGCTGTGTATATATGAGGTTTATAAAATATGGATAGCCTAGGTAGTAGCCGAGGTGTGTAGTAGTTGGGCTATCTCGGTTGGTGTAAGTACACTGTGATGTTTACACAGTGACAAAATCACCTACTGATACATTTCTTAGAATGTGTCCCATTGTTAAGTGACTCTTGGCATGAGACTCTGATCTAACCAAGCTTGTGTTCCCCATGGGGGTACTGAGGCCTGGGGTGAGGGAGTCAGTGTTACACTTTTTCCTTAGTTGGCAATGGGCAGACCCATCCCAGATCAAAGCTCCCTCTCACCCAGGCTGTCTTCCTTCAGTGTCTCTGCTTACACAGCCCCTGAGTAGTGATACTGAAGTAGTTACTTAGGATGCTTTAATCAAGGACTGTGACTCCTGCCCACTTTTTTCTCTGCCGTCGTTGCCAAGGCAGCAAGTCAGAAATACCATCTTGGCTTTATGGATGCTTGCTTGAAAGCAGCCGGCCGGGACCTTAGTAGGCTGAGGCCATTCTGCTGCTTTCTGAAAGTTCCTGTCTCTGATCTTTGTGGTCTTTGAACTTTTAAAAGCTTATTTTGCAAGAAGATAGTAAAAGCTAAAAAGAAAAACAACAACAACAAAAGAAAACCCTCCCCAAATTCCATTAATTCCTGTTGATTTTTTTTTTTTTTTCCTTTTTTTTTTCTGATGCTGGGGGCAGGGATAGAACCCAGGGCCTCTTGCATGCTGAGCAAGTGCTCTACCACCAGCCTCACCCTCAGCCCTTTTTGTTTTTGTTTTTGGAGGCAGAGTTTCAAACTCCTGAGGTCAAGTGGTCTTTGTGCCTCAGCCTCTTTCTTTCTTTGTCCTGAGAATCCAACTCAGGACCTCCAATTTGCCAGGCAGGTGCTGTGCCATGGAACTATATCCCTGTCCCCTCTCAGCCTTTTGAGTAAGTAGGACTACAGGTGAGTGTCAAAATAGCTGGTTCTCTTTCTTTCTTTCTTTCTTTCTTTCTTTCTTTCTTTCTTTCTTTCTTTCTAAGTTTTAATAAGTTAAAATTGATTAAATGCCTGTCCTGAGCTAGGCACTGTACTAGACACTGTGTTTTTTTTGTTTGTTTGTTTGTTTTTTTGGCAGAACTGCGGATTGAACTCAGGCCCTTGCACTTGCCGGGAAAGTGCTTATTCCACTGAGCCATCTCCCCAGCCCCTGACACTGTGTTTTTTTTTAAAAAAATTTTTGTTCACTTGTCTTTTTGAGACAGGGTCTCGATACATAGCCCTACTTATCCTTCAGCCAGGCTGGCCATGAACTCATGACAGTCCTCCTGCGTCAGCATCCCAAGTGCTGGGATTATAGGCGTGCTGCACCATACATGGCTATACTAGATACTTTATATAATCTATAAGACACTTGTTCTTTCTTTAAAAAGCACTGGACTGTGTAAAATCATGCAATGAAAATCAGAAGTATTCTGGGAAAAATGGGGTTAAGGGCATCCCACTCCAAAACCCCATCACTGGCACCTTAAAAAAAAAAAAAAAAAAAAGAAAAAAGAAAAGCTGGGCCGGGTGGTGCATACCTTGTAGCCCCATCACTGAGACCCTGAGGCAGGGTGATTGCAAATTCAAAGCC